ACACGGCGACCGCCGTTAGCGCACGGCAGCTCACACACAGCTGAGAGGCAGGGTGAGATACATAGGAAACAGTTTCAAAACAGAATGAATTGAAAAAGGCACTTGAACCATAACAGCGGAATGTTGACAAGGAGTCACATATACTGCCACTGACTCAAGTATGTGATGCAACAGAAACAATTCATGACATGTCATAAAATCACACAAGCCATAGAGTACCTGTGTGGCAGCCTTCTCCAGTCCAACCAGGAGAACATAAACATTTGTTCCAGCGCATACAAGTACCTCCGTGCGCACAAGGTGGGAAGCACATGGCTGCAATGCACATGGAACACACGATGAACTCCAATAATTAAAACATTGTTAAAATAACAGATTTCTGACGTCGTCGACCAAAATTGGGCTATACAAAGGCAAAATTTCTGATTGTTTTGTATTGGATTTCAATAGTTAGGTGTCCAGCGAGTACCGTATTTTTCAGACCAGAAGGCAAACTTACAATCCTTGAGTTTTCCTCGAAATCGACAACGTGCCTTGTGATTGGTGTGCCTCTTGCATGGATGGATGTTGGCTTTTCAATTCGTCGTCTTCAATTTACATATTTTATTATTGCGTAGGGATGTAACGATAACGGCAATATCGCCTTTTAACATTGTCACAAGGTCGTTGTCCTGTCGGAATATTGACAAACAGCACATCCGTTTCCATTTGTGCGGTTCCAGCACCCTCTGGTGGTGAGTTTGATACTGCAGTTTAATTTGAATTGGGCATGTTTTGGCATAAAACTCTTTTTCTGTTTTACCTCATTTACGAATGACCTGGCCTTTAAAAAAAAACTAATAAATAAAAAATACGGCCCATGCGCTCACGTTTTCTCACCCTTTGATAAACAGTAAAAATTACATCAGTAAGTACAGACAGCAACCTGAGCAGCCAAGGCCAGGGTATCCCGCAGGACAGTCGCAGCTGTTGGGCGCCACACACACTCCGTAGTTCTGACAAGGGGGGTCGCACACAGCTGGAAAGACACAAGACAACAATGCCTCGTGTCACGCCGACAACAGGAAAACCGGACCGCACTGTGCTGGTAGATGTGACGTTTGACTCACGCCGGCACTTGGCGTGATCATCGCTTTGAACACGATAGCCCTCCCTGCAGGTACAGTTGAAGGCTCCGGGGTGATTCTCGCACAATTGCTCGCAGCCTCCGTTCGTGAAGTCTCCGCACTCGTTCACATCTCATGACAGAAATATTAAAAACATTGCTTTGGTGCCATCTTGTGGCACATAAAGGAAATATAGAAACCTTTTCAGGGTTAGTGAGGTGAAAATACTCCTTTGTGTTTTCGCTATTCACGGAATAGCTCAGTCGTGATCCCCGCAAATAGCATGGGAACACCGTATTCATCTTGGTGGGGAGGAAAAAAAAAATCTGGCTGTGTGACGAATGCTAAACTTCCCAAAGTCATATCCGTTACCACTGTGCAGCTGATCCTACATTGGAGATACTTTCCAGTTGCATTCAAATCGGGTGATGTAACGCAGCTGCCCAAAGTGCCATTCCTAAATCCCATTCTATAGACTGAGCATGTCCTTTATTTTATTCAAACAGCCTCAGTCCTTGGTGTCTATTGAAACATCCGATTGGATTTCGACAAGGACCTCAAATCCGTTTCGACGACGACTCATTCTTGAGACAGCGATTATCTTACACGATGTACCCGGTTAGGTCATACCCTCGCAGCTTCTCAGGTCCTCGCTCAGTTTCCAGCCAGCTCGGCAGCTACACTGGACGCTGCCCTCGGCGCCCGTGATGCAGACGTGGTCGCAGCCGCCGTTTCTCAGTTTACAAGACGTCACATCTGCGCGAATGAAAAGGACACCACAGCAGAGTGTTTTCTGCAGACTGAAAAAAAAAAACATCTGCAAAATACTTGGAAATGTACTTTCAATTTAAACTATGATACTGTACTTTTTTTTGCCTCACATTTGACACTTTTTCCACTGCTTTCCTGCAAGTGTGCCTTGCTACTGTATAATGTTATGGATGTTGGACAATTGTTAGCGTGGATTAAAAAAAATATATATAAAAAAAATTAAAACATCATTGACAGTAACATACTGCTGCAGGTGTGGCTGTCCGTGTCCAGCAGCAGAGGAGGTGGGCAGTGGCAGTCGTGTCCCCCTGGGGAATTGGTGCAGGTGTGCGAGCAGCCGCCGTTCTCAAGTTTACATTCGTCAATGTCTAAGCACGCACACGCACACGCACACACACACACACACACACACATATTCAGGGGATGGGTGGTGGAACAAACTTTTCTCTCTCGATGCAACACATATCACTGAACCATAAAATGTGCTCTGGGAACACCGAGTGACTTGGTGATGCTCATCCATGTTGAAATGGTTGAAAATGAGGAGGTAGACTGCAGAGAAAAGTGAATGAATTTCAACAGGTCGGCTGACCCACGCAGGCGTGGCCGTCGATGTGGAGCTGGTAGCCGGGCCTGCACGTGCACCGGAAGGATCCCGGGGTGTTGACGCAGGCGTGCGCGCAGCTTCCGTTCGGGGACAAACACTCGTTCACGTCTAGAGATGCAGATACATTTCGCTTAGCTCGTCTTGACGCCGCAGAACATAATCGGATCACATTTTCAACTATGAATGTCGGTTGTTATTAACATTTCCGGCAAGGATGAAAATCTGGGTTCACCTGTACATCCGTGTCCATCTTGGTTCAGTTGGTAGCCGGAGGCACACAGGCAGCTGTAGCCTCCTGGTTCATTTGCACAGTTGTGGTCACAGTGTCCGTTGTTCACAGCACACTCGTCAACGTCTGTCAGCAAAATACAAATGTGCTGTTGTCATCTCATACTACGGCGCTCAAATTTGTTTGGTTCGTTTGGGTTATCCAGTACGGTGGCATAGGGAGTACGGAATGGAGTTCAACGCACAATTTTTACAATTGTCATTCTAATTTCTTAATGTCAGCCTAAAATGGCAAAGCTACGCTCAACAGACACAATTTAAAGGTGCCGCGATCTAATTAAGCACCCGCCAGTCAGCCACTCACCGAAACAGGAATGGCCGTCGCCATTGAAACCTTGGTGGCACTGGCAAAAGTAAGAGCCGATGACGTTGCCGCAGCGAGCGTTGACGTCACAGCCGTGAGCGCCTGACGCGCACTCGTTTGTATCTGAAAAGAAAGACGCCCATCATATCTCACGCGCGCGACAACGCCGTCAAAACATGAAGTCGCGTTCCGAGGTAGAGAAATAAGGGATAACGGCTTACCTTCGCAGTGTGTGCCGTTTCCACGGTAACCTGCCGGGCACACACACTTGTAGCTACCCAACGTGTTCTCACAAACTCCCCGGCCGTCGCACAGCGTGGGAATTGCCGAGCATTCGTCCACATCTGAAAGATGAGTGGCAGGGGATGGGAGAGGAATGCATTCGATGTCAAAAATCTTCAATGTGATTTAAAAGACACCTTTGTATTTTGAGTAGGACGTTTCCAAATCATATTTGACCAGAGTTATTAGCGCGGCGCATTTTCTACCTTGACACACGGTGAAGTTTGGACACAAGGCGCCTGTCAAGCGAAAGAGGATGAGAGCGGGGCATCGTTAATCATGAAATCATTCATCAATGCGTTGGGATAAGCAGCGGAGCTTCTCACCGCATTACACTAATCCAAACGGGGCTCGGTGCCAAACTCACCCACGCAGGCGGGGGCCTCTGCTCGGTAGCCAGGACGGCACTGGCACACAAAGCTGCCGGGTGTATTCAAGCACACGTTTCCCAGGTCACGGCGACACAGCCCGTCAAAGCTGCACTCGTCCACATCTATGAGAGAACGAGCAACAAGGGACGTCCAACGGGCAAGTTATCCATTTCTGTTGAATGATTTTAAGTTGAATGTTCTGTCAAGCAGCTTTATTACAGCTGCAGCTGTTGTGCATCCAATCCATCCATTTTCTGAGCTGCTTTATCCTCACAAGGGCCGCGGAGGGGTGCTGGAGCCTTTCCCAGCTGTATTTGGGCAGTAGGCGGGGGACAACCTGAACCGGTTGCCAAACAATCGCAGGGCACACAGGGACAAACAAGCATCCGCACTCACACTCACACCGAGGTACAATTTAGAGTGTTCAATCAGCCTGCCATGAATGTTTTTTGGGAATGTGGGAGGAAACCGGAGTACCCGGAGAAAACCCACGCGGGCCCGGGGAGAACAGCTGGAATTGAATTACCTCTGCACTATGAGGTCGACGCGCTAACCATTCGACCACCGGGTTGCCTTCATTAGATAATAAAAATGTGATTTCTTGACGTCCATGTTAAATATTGGAATAATATCAATATTGTTATATTCAACACCCATATCACGTTTTTCCCGATATCGCGCAACCGTACTATAATTGGAGCGAAAATGGCCTTTGGGTGTCACATTTTTTCAATGAATATCATGCCTGAGATTTACAGGGCTCATTTTATATGTATTTATTTTGATATTGCTGTATGTATAGCGGAAGGAAAGTCAAACTGTTGTTTGAGAGTTGTGCTTCGCTTGATAACAAATTAACTTTACACGATACTTAGTCACCATATATCTTGCACTCGACAAATGTTACAGATGTAAACAAAAACAAAAAAACAAAACTAAAACGAACACTAAAACGAATTAAAAACAAACAAAAACAAAGCATTAAAAAAAAGTAGTCAAAAAATTCTACATTTACAAACCCGCTCTAAACACAAAAGAAAACTGCCTGAATTTAAATAATTTGTGAAATTTACAAAATACAGTGGACTCCCACATACCCGCGGTTCAACGTCGCAGATTACCCCATTTTTCGTGCAAACTCAACTTTATTTATAAAGCACTTTAAAACAACCCCCGCTGCATACAAAGGTTTGTACCCGGAACAAAAATACGTCACACAAACCAAAACGGCAGAGACTTAGTCAAAGGCGTATCTCGCCTGCTATGGTTTTTGAAGACTTTAGTGTGAGTCCACTCATAACAGATATCCCAAACCAATGTCATGTCGCCGAGTGAAACTTGCCTTCACAGTTTTGTTCATTCTGAGCCATGACGTATCCCACCGGGCAGGAACAGCCGAAGGAGCCAAGGGTGTTTGTACACTGCGCGTTGTCATTGCAGGCTCGCAGGCCCGTCACCGCGGCCACAGCGCACTCGTCGACATCTGCGAAACCGGCAAAGTGAAAATGGATTGCCCAATACGCCACCGTTAATTATTCCTCATCATGCTCTAACACACACAAACATCATCTCTGCGGACGGACCCTGACACCCCTCTGCGCCCTTCAAGTAACCACGGTAACATCGGCACGAGTAGGAGCCGGGGGTGTTGGTGCAGTTTGCGTGAGGACCACACGGTGCGTCTTCTCCACACTCGTCAATGTCTGCGGAGATGAAGACGTAGAGGTATATATTTTATCTCAGTAAATCTGAATCATAGAAAATGTCATTTGTTTCAGTAGTTCAATTGAAAAAGTGAACCTCATTCACAGTACAGTATTGTATAGATTCGTTTCACAGAGTGAAACATTTTACAAAAATGCTGATTTTAAAAGCTGATTATTCGATTTATAGCCCTTTCAGCTTTGAATGTGAACATAAATGGCAGATTAACGCATGAAAATAGACAATACAACAATACTTGCACGGATATATTCTTCATCCTCTGCGAAGAACAGCTAAAATGACTGTAACTTATTGAGAAACTGTGGCCGTCACAATCAACTGTATAGTCGCATGTCTGTAGTATACTGCCCCTGGGTGGCCAATGTGAACCCACCGGAAGGAACTGCACAATGTCAATTGAATTGAAGCAAAAAAAAAAAAAAATGTGGCTAAAACTGTAGGTATTTAGGTAATTAGTGCATGTTTTTTTTAATAAAATTACACGATTCTAGAGTGCTATTTTTTATTTGGAAAAATTACATTACTATTACATTTTTATTATTTTTTTTTCTGTTTCAATAATACATATTTTATTGAAACAAAGAACATGTGTTTTAGTCATACTGACGCTTTACCTTTGCATCCTGCTGCTCCTTCAAGACTGAATCCAAGTGGGCAAGTACAGATATCTCCCTTCTTCAGCATGTCTGATGGGCAGCCGCAATCCGAGCTGCCCTCAAGCATCACCTGATTGCCTGGACACTGAGGAGGAGGGCCAGGCAACTGGCGGGCAGCGATAGATGTATTGGACACTTGGCTGAGAGCGAGGGAGGACGTTTGGCTGGTGTTGATGGAAGAGGCTAACGTGAAAGAAAATGTGTGAGGAGGCACATTATGAATACAAATGAAAAGAGCGTTGTATTTCAAATCACCCGTGGTTGGTGTGTGACTCGGTGTGGGTTTGCTGAGATTTCCGATGAGATTCTCAATCTATAAGAGGAGATAGGCATCATGAGTACAAGTACAAATACCGTACTTACATTGAAGTGCATGCCACTGCAAACTACCAATACTTGTTAATGTGATTATACTGACGTAGCCTGTATCATAAGACATTTCAGTTACGTGGTGTCTTAGTCTGAGGGAACACGATGTCGAAGGAGTAAAGTTAAAAGAGATGAGGAGGAACGTAAAGTCTGGTGGAGCTACAAGTGCAAGCATAGAAAGTTTTGTCACCCGTGCTTCCACTAAAGTATGTCCACACAAGCTATCAAGCTGGTACAGTGGTATCGATGATTTAGTATCAAAACATTTTTGGGGAGTCCGAGTATGAGTAGAGAAGTTCAGTATCGGCACTTGCAAAAAATATCACACAACTCTTGATCGTATAAATACTTGGTGGGCCACTTTCAAGATCAGAGTGGGCCATACATGACCCTTGGGCCATACTTTGACAATCCCTTCTTGAAATGGTCCACTGATTTGACTGTAAGTGTGGATAGTTGTCTGTATGTGCCTCGCAATTGGATTTTGTCCTTCCCATTCTATACAATAAACTACATGCTGATTTATATATTCTATGAAATTGGTATGCGACAGCTGTCGGATGAATCAACTTCATCTCTATGCTTTGTAGTTCAGTCACTCGCCTGGTCCTTGAGGAGGTCTGGCTCGGTACTTTTTAGGACTTCATTTTCATCTGCCCCGGTGTTGTTCAGCGATTCGGTCGCTGAGGCAGCCAGCAGAAGGGCTGACAGGAAGATGCAGAGGTGAGGCATGGCTTGATGAAGAGAAGCCTCGCCTGTCAGACCAAAGCATTTGTGTGTAATTAATCTGATATTGTTTACTGTAACACATCCATCCGTCCATCCATTTTCTAATCTGCTTTGAACCGCGAATGCTGTGAGATAACAGCGCAAACTACTACTCCACTGTGTCACTCAATAACCATAAGGCTAATTAAGGCAAAACTTCTACTCTCGGGACAGAACGGCACAAGTATGTTAAAAATGGGCAAAGGTTACTTTGCGAAAGACTGTGAAAGATCAAATGTATTTTAAAAAAGGGTGGCGGGGGGCTCATTCATCGTGAACATGTGCGGACAGGCAGAACAACACAGAAGGGAAATGCGACCTGTTATTAAGTTGACATGAACCCTCTTTCTCCCTCTGCTTCTGAACAAAAGGGAAGCGACGGGAAAACCGTTCACAGTATTGTGAAATATACGAAATATTATACCGAACCATTAAAACTTCGGTTAAGCACGGAAATGTTTGGCGCGACGAACTCCGCAAAGTACCTCCAAATGAAAACCATTAACGTTTAATAATTTTCTTTTTCCTGTTAACAGATGTGACGTGATTCAATTAAAAAAACTTACCTGGTCGAGGTGTGTAAAAGAACACGTGATGGTTCCGAAAAGTCAATACTTTGTGTCGTGGGAAACCGCGACAGAACTTTTCTCACTCGTCCACTTCTCCAGAGCCTCTCTGGCGGGGAGGGAGCAAAATGTGGCCCGCTACGAACCGTGACAAGGGAGGTGGAGTGCGGAATGGGCTGGTGGTGGTGGTTCTAGTAGGACTTGGACTTGGTCGTAAAACAAACGTTGGGTCAGCAGCTCGAGACTATTTCAAAGAGAAGCTCACACGGAGATGTGCTTCAAATAATCAAGTCTACTCAAGTTTAGTGAGTATGAAAGAGGCCACAAGGGGGCAGCAAGTGACTCCTCAAGGATGGCGGTACAGACGTTTTTGCCTTTAGATTATTTTCCATTTGAAGTGCATTTCATGCATTTTTTTTTTTTTACTCTGGGCTATATACGTTAGTGAGGCTGTAGGAAAATTACAACAAATTCTCGTGACATTTTGTGACCATCGGAAGAGATTAACTCCCATAATAAATCGAGAGACAGCCGGGCACCCTCAAAAATTGTTCGATAAAATAAGATTCATGAAAGTAACTCCGAAATTTGCGGAGGTGAACGACTACAAAAAAAAAAAAAAAAATCACATTTGAAATAGGACTACCGTAAAAATACTGCAAATCATTCAAAAGGCTAATGAGAGAAAACCCGAAACGCACGTTAAAATAGAGCTACTCCAAAAAACTAAAACAGGTTGCCACAATGAAATCAAGTGTTTTTCATTTGTTTTATATCTTCTTATATTTTGGAAGTGCTTCAAACAAATACGTACTATACCATTTTCCTCTTGTGTTGAAGGAAAAAGGGAAAAAAAAAAGAAAAAGACACTTCAAAAGCTTGCTCCCATCATCTGATTTACTTGAAACATTTTAGAACTGCCATATCTGATGTTATCTCGTGAAAAGTGAAGAAAACAGTGAAGAATTGTTTTTTTCACAAGGCTTTCCAAAAGTCCATTGCAAGCAAACGTTGAGACACGTATAAATACACAGGAAACACATCACAAGCTCATACATTCGTGCTAAGGCAAAGGACTGATGTAAGCTCTTTGTAATGAAACAAAAACGCTCACCCAAGGTGCAGTATGGGACCAATTGAAGCTTATTACATTTAAAGCATAATACAAATGACTTAATAATCACAGAAATGATGTAACACAAAATACTGCATGATAATAACATTTATATGGCCATGTACCAATACGATTGAACACCAATACGATGGCGGCAGCAGACGCCCGCTGTTTGCGATTGATGAATAAATGATGACTTTAGTTTTTAGATTGGGCCCTTAATTCAACTAAAGTCAGATTCCGTTTGACCAATGGGGCGTCCAAGTGCATCTGGAGACAGAGCTGTGTGTGTGTGTGTGTGTGTGTGTGTGTGTGTGTGTGTGTGTGTGTGTGTGTGTGTGTGTGTGTGAGATGCGGAGGCACGTCTAGAAGGGTGTGTCCATCATGCTGCCCTTTGCCGCGGGGGACACCACGCCACAGCTCCTCTCTTGCCACCTGAGCCACTGCATGTGCACCTCTTTTTGCACCTGTAAAACTCGCA